TTTGGAACGAAGCGAGCTCGCTGGCGAGTTCGTCTGCTTGCTCGTCAACGAACTCGTTGGCGAGCATGCTGACGAGCTCGCGTGTAAGCGTACTGAAATTTGTATAGGGGTATCTCTTGTTCATTCTACCTCCAATGTTTTCAGACTGTTTTCAAAACAATATCATGTTTGTCGATCATAGTTCTATGTAGCTTGATGCCTCACGGTAATTTAATCAATCTAAGCAACAATTTCAGAATTTTAGCGACAATCGTTCGCCATTGCTGCTCTTTAATACTATTATGATGTGCAGTAACAAATTGAAATTTCAGAACTCATGATAAATTCGTTTAACAGTTGATTCAACTTGGTTGTTTCTGTTGTTCGGGTTATTTAGCAGAACGACACAGAAATTAATATTCTCATGGCTAACGACTTTGCATTAGTGTTCATCGTCTCTACAATGCTATTTGAACAATATTTGGTGACAAAAGACGGCATTTCTATGTAGCGTCAAAAGCCATCAAATAACAAAAACATGGCACATAAAAAGATTCTCAGTACTGGGTCTGATTTAAAGGAAACTTAATTTGAACCCGGCCATATTCTGTCTCTCTCTCTCTGTCGCTCTCGTTTGTCATTGCCTTCATTTTCCCTCGCTTTCTTCATTCTTACCACGGAATATGTAATGTGCATGCACGTGTATGCCTCAATCATTGAGAATATACTCACTTATATCGCTGAAATGATTCTTCTCCTACCCCTTTTTCTTCATTAATTTCTTCTTAGTAGTTGTAGTTGAAGTAGTAGTAATAGCAGCAGTATCATAATAATCATTATTATTATCATTGTTATATTTATTATTATAGTAAATATCGTAATTATAATCATTATTGTTATTGTTATTATTCTTATAGCTATTTGTATGCTTCTTCTTCTTATTATCGTATACACCATACGTCATGTGCCAAGAATTTATTGCTAAGATACATCCAAGATGTCTACCAAAACTGTCAATTCGTTGCTGAAATATTATCAAGCCAAAAGAAGCAACATTAGAATTTCTATTTTAAATTGAAATAAATTATATAGGAGAAATAAATAGAGAATACAATCATGATTTTGGAACTAGGGGATTAACATGGACATAATGCACTTGTTTACATAACCACATTATCTCTTGTTCATTCTACCTCCAATGTTTTCAGACTGTTTTCAAAACAATATCATGTTTGTCGATCATAGTTCTATGTAGCTTGATGCCTCACGGTAATTTAATCAATCTAAGCAACAATTTCAGAATTTTAGCGACAATCGTTCGCCATTGCTGCTCTTTAATACTATTATGATGTGCAGTAACAAATTGAAATTTCAGAACTCATGATAAATTCGTTTAACAGTTGATTCCACTTGGTTGTTTCTGTTGTTCGGGTTATTTAGCAGAACGACACAGAAATTAATATTCTCATGGCTAACGACTTTGCATTAGTGTTCATCGTCTCTACAATGCTATTTGAACAATATTTGGTGACAAAAGACGGCATTTCTATGTAGCGTCAAAAGCCATCAAATAACAAAAACATGGCACATAAAAAGATTCTCAGTACTGGGTCTGATTTAAAGGAAACTTAATTTGAACCTGGCCATATTCTGTCTCTCTTTGTCGCTCTCGTTTGTCATTGCCTTCATTTTCCCTCGCTTTCTTCATTCTTACCACGAAATATGTAATGTGCATGCACGTGTATGCCTCAATCATTGAGAATATACTCACTTATATCGCTGAAATGATTCTTCTCCTACCCCTTTTTCTTCATTAATTTCTTCTTAGTAGTTGTAGTTGAAGTAGTAGTAATAGCAGCAGTATCATAATAATCATTATTATTATCATTGTTATATTTATTATTATAGTAAATATCGTAATTATAATCATTATTATAGTAAGTATGTGTTATTGTTATTATTCTTATAGCTATTTGCTTATTCTTCTTATCATTATTATCGTATACACCATACGTCATGTGCCAATTATTTATTGCTATGATACATCCAAGATGTCTACCAAAACTGTCAATTCGTTGCTGAAATATTATCAAGCCAAAAGAAGGAACATTAGAATTTCTATTTTAAATTGAAATAAATTATATAGGAGAAATAAATAGAGAATACAATCATGATTTTGGAACTAGGGGATTTAATCAATCTAAGCAACAATTTCAGAATGTTAGCGACAATCGTTCGCCATTGCTGCTCTTTAATACTATTATGATGTGCAATAACAAATTGAAATTTCAGAACTCATGATAAATTTGTTTAACAGTTGATTCCACTTGGTTGATTCTATTGTTCGGGTTATTTAGCAGAACGAGATATAAATTGACATTCTCATGACTTACGACTTTGCATTAGTGTTCATCGTCTCTACAATGCTATTTGAACAATAGTTGGTGACAAAAGACGGCATTTCTATGTAGCGTCAAAAGCCGTCAAATAACGAAAACATGGCACATAAAAAGATTCTCAGTACTGGGTCTGATTTAAAGGAAACTTAATTTGAACCTGGCCATATTCTGTCTCTCTCTCTCTCTCTGTCGCTCTCGTTTGTCATTGCCTTCATTTTCCCTCGCTTTCTTCATTCTTACCATGGAATATGTAATGTGCATGCACGTGTATGCCTCAATCATTGACAATATACTCACTACCGGTAATATCGCTGAAATGATTCTTCTCCTACCCCTTTTTCTTCATTAATTTCTTCTTAGTAGTTGTAGTTGAAGTAGTAGTAATAGCAGCAGTATCATAATAATCATTATTATTATCATTGTTATATTTATTATTATAGTAAATATCATAATTATAATCATTATTATAGTAAGTATGTGTTATTGTTATTATTCGTATGCTTCTTCTTCTTATCATTATTATCGTATACACAATACGTCATGTGCCAAGAATTTATTGCTTTGATACATCCAAGATGTCTACCAAAACTGTCAATTCGTTGCTGAAATATTATCAAGACAAAAGAAGGAACATTAGAATTTCTATTTTAAATTGAAATAAATTATATAGGAGAAATAAATAGAGAATACAATCATGATTTTGGAACTAGGGGATTAACATGGACATAATGCACTTGTTTACATGACCACATTATCTCTTGTTCATTATACCTCCAATGTTTTCAGACTGTTTTCAATTGTTCTGGTTATTTAGCAGAACGAGATATAAATTGACATTCTCATGACTTACGACTTTGCATTAGTGTTCATCGTCTCTACAATGCTATTTGAACAATATTTGGTGACAAAAGACGGCATTTCTATGTAGCGTCAAAAGCCGTCAAATAACGAAAACATGGCACATAAAAAGATTCTCAGTACTGGGTCTGATTTAAAGGAAACTTAATTTGAACCTGGCCATATTCTGTCTCTCTCTCTCTGTCGCTCTCGTTTGTCATTGCCTTCATTTTCCCTCGCTTACTTCATTCTTACCACAGAATATGTAATGTGTATGTGTAGGCCTCATTATGTTAATTAGGGTCAATGGTCAAATTGTCTCAATATATCTTCCATACATCCATAATTATCAATGCTAAACAGTAGAAACTTGACATATGGATAGATCATAATGGGAGAAGCATTTTATATAAAAATATGACATCGTGAAAATGCATTCTTCATTATGTAAATCATTAGCATACGTATCACCTAATTCGTCAAAGTGACGAATTAAAGTCTAGTTTAACTTAGACTAGTCTAGTACTTAGTCTTAGGGCCTACCGGTAGTAAACATCAGCGTTGCACTTGTAATTTTTGTATGAAATCTCATTATTTGATGAATTATAGCATTGGATTCTGTGTGCGTGTGTATCATGAACTAGCGCATAACGTATGGTTCCTATATTGCCAATCAAATGCAGCGATAGGATGGCTACTGGTATATAATATAGATCTAGGTCTAGGTAAGGTTAAAAAAAGACGCCAGCCGGTCACCACATATACACAGTCGCCCCTCTAAGATGCATGGCCCTTCGTGTTATCAGTGTCTGATATGGTGTAGGACTGTACATGTAGTCTAGGTCTAGTTTGAAGCCCTAAAAATATTGCGCTTCAAAATGATCATGAACGATGAAGTGCCTCAAAAAAGTAAAAATCTTTGAGCTAGTGACCGGTCACAAAGAACTCTGCGTATTGAGCGCTGTATCATGAGCTTACGCACTCTCATTGGCCGATCTACTCGAATGGCTTAGAATTTAAGTGAGAGAGGGCCTACTTAATTAACTTAAGCGCAACTTAAGTTCAATGGCAAAGTCAATACGTTATATTACGTCGCACCATAGAGGTTTTGACACGTCCTGCTTTAAACAGGTGACACACTTAATTCACACATAACTGACGCAAAGTACACATCATTGTAAACACATAAAATAGAAAAATCAATGAACATCTCAGACTAAATTTTCCAGTTTGTACCTTAAATATGACGAAGATGAGAATTGTTCAAACTTAAAAAATAGTAAAACTTAAAGTTAAAGATAAAGACCAGTTATGGTCATGCGATTGCATTATGAAAGAAAGGGTTGTGGAATGGATCAGAAAGGGTTGATCATCTAGCATACATGAAAGTATTGGTATGTACTGCAAGGTTCTGGAATCATCGAAATGATAAGAAATTTGGCCCAGTCTTGGTAAAGTTGCAAGCACTGTACACAGAAAGATGTATGGGACTACGCGACACGTGCGCTATATTTATCAGGTCCAAAGAGATATAACAATGTACCAAATATATCAATTATTAGGCGGTTTCTCTGCAAAATTTGTATGATCACGTATTTGTCAAAACATATTCTTTCACATGATTGGTAACAACAGCTTCCATTTCATTTTTTGAGAGGGGGGCATTTCCAAAACTGGTCTTTACCTTTAAAGCCGTAAAGGTAAAGACCAGTTTTGAAAACTTCCTTTGCTATAATCATGAAAATTAGTGAAAATTAATATTCTTGCCCCTTTTTCCTTCTTTAGAGTACTCTGAAAGCAACAAAGGGAAAAAGATTAAAGATTGACACCAGTCAAAGAAGTAGGTCTATTCCTGGCCTGATACATGGAAGAAGAAAGCTCAATGGAATCCTACATAAAAAAGGAAGACTTTTTGTTTTATGAAGCTGAGACGGGTAAGAGTGATAGAGATCAAGTATCACTGCAGGAAGATGTAAAACAGTCCTGTGTTGATGAGGAAGGTTGGATTCACATGTGTGCTAAACCTGAGATGCCCAGTACAGCTCTTTCATCAGATCCACAAGAGAGTAAAACAGTCTTGATTGCACTTGGCCAAGAGTCTGTATTGGAAGATGATGAGAGGATTGGAGAAAACTCTCAAGAGAGTAGTGAAAGGGAGTCCATGCCACCTACACACCAAGAGAGGAACTCTGTTAGTTTTGATGTTCTCATCAAAGAAGGTAAAGTTTGTTACTGTAAGATGGGAAACTAATGACATGTGAGTGGTTCTGGGGCCTGTTTCATAAAACTTGTTATCAATAACAAATGCTAAATTTCTATGACAAATTTGCCCTCAGCCAATCAAATGCCAGTAGCTTACATAACAGTTATTGTAACTTGTTATTGATAACAAGTTTTATGAAACAGGGCCTAGATTTGCTGTAAAATAATTGAAACTGATGATGTGATGAATTTTGGCAATTCTTGAATAATTTTTGCATAAATGGCTGTTCAGTGTTCATGGTGTTGAAAAGTTTCATGTGATAGTCGGTTTCCACTACAGCCTAATAGGGACTTTTAGATTCTGCACGACGAGAACGTTGACTGCCCTTTTAAGGCAATGTGACGTCCTTTTAAGGCACTGGCAGTGACGTCACATTGCCTTAAAAGGGCAGTCCGCGTTCTCATCGTGCAGAATCTAAAAGTCCCTAATCATGGTTCTTTGGAACCATATTTTCTGCGTTGCCTTTCTAGATACATATTCTCTAATGATCATCACATCAATCAAAAAATGTAACCGTGCCATTGAAACATCTTTACATTCACCATATTAAACAGCTTCAGGTACAAAGATGAGAATTGGTCAGACCAATCAAACAGTTTAATTTCAATGTTTAATTTTTCAAACACCCAACATAACAATCATAATAAATTTTTAAAGATTGTCATATTAACAAGTTAAATATGTGTCTGACTTTTAAATATGTTGCATTTGTCAAATCCATCTTCCAATCGTACACTTCTGTTAAAAATTATGAGCAATAGTCATAACTTTGAAATATTTCGCAATTTCGATCATTTACAGAAATTGATTCCGAGCAGAATGGGGAAGGCGGAAGATGCTTCAATGAAGAAAAAGGAGAAAGTGGAGACAACGATCGTGGCGGAAACAATGAATCTTGTGAATGTAAGGTGACAGAGCCTACAGGGTCTTTTCAGAAGAAGCATGAGAGAACCGACTCCGGTGGAAAAACATCACTTCAATGTTTCTTCTGTGATCGCTCATTTTCTAAAGAGTGTCACCTTACCAGACATCTCCAATCTCATGTTGGTATAAAGACCTATGACACTTTCCATTGTTCCCTTTGTAAAAAGTCATTTTTGTCCAATTCTGATCTTGTAAAACACAAGACAAAATGCACAGGGGAGAAGCCTTATGCATGTATTCATTGTACAAGTACATTTGCTAAACAGATGGACCTTAAGGTACATAGCAGAACACATAACCAAGTAAAGAACATTCTAACGGTACAAACACAAGATCAAACAGATCATTCTTATAGCCAAAGCCAATCTCAATGTTCATATTGTAAAAGAGCTTTCAAAACAAAGTCCAACCTTGACTCACACATAGGAACAATGACTTTTGAAAGTTCTTATTCATGTTCTCATTGTAGCAGTACATTTCCATCCAAGTGTATTCTAACTCTTCACAACAGAACACATCTTGAACATATATCATGTCAATGTGCTCTATGTGGCAAGACGTTTGCATCATTGTCTGGGAGAACTAGACACATGAAATGGCATACAGGAGAAAAGCCTCATGAATGTTCACATTGTGGTAAGAGATTTTTCCATAAAGGTAATTTGAATGTACATATTCGAATTCACACAAAAGAGAAACCCTACAAATGTGATCATTGTAGCAAGGGATTTTCCTACAAGAAAACATTTAATTTGCACATGATCGAACATTCTGAAAAAATACTACAGGAATGTTCTGTCCGTAAAGAGAAATTAGCAACGTCAAACCGCAGCATAGAATGTTCTCAAAACGGATCCCAAAGTAATAATATTGTAACAATGACCCCTCGGAAAACAACGACCCCTCGGAAAACAATGACCATTGAAAGTTCTTATTCATGTTCTCATTGTAGCAGTACATTTCCATCCAAGTGTAGTCTAACTCTTCACAACAGGACACATCTTGAACAGAAATCATATCAATGTTCTCTATGTAGCAAGACGTTTGCATCAATTTATGTGAGAACTAGACACATGAAATGGCATACAGGAGAAAAGCCTCATGAATGTTCACATTGTGGTAAGAGATTTTTCGGAAAAGGAAATTTGAACTCACATATTCGAATTCACACAAAGGGCAAACTCTACAAATGTGATCATTGTAGCAAGGAATTTTCCTACAAGAAAACATTAAATTTGCACATGATCGAACATTCTGAAAAAATACTACAGGAATGTTCTGTCCGTAAAGAGAAATTTGCAACGTTGAACAGCAGCATAGAATGCTCTCAAAACGAATCCCATAGTGATGATATCGAAATAATTACCCCCCGGAAAACAATGAATATTGAAAGTTCTTATTCATGTTCTCATTGTAGCAGCTCATTTCCATCCAAGTGTAGTCTAACTCTTCACAACAGAACACATCATGAACAGAAATCGTATCAATGTTCTCTATGTAGCAAGACGTTTACAACAGCACAAGGGAAAAAGACACATATGAGAAGGCATACTGATGAAAAGCGTCATCAGTGTTCTTACTGTAGCAAGAAGTTCTTTGATAAAACTCATTTGAACGAACATGTTCGAATACACACCAAGGAGAAACCCTACAAATGTGATCATTGTAACCAGGGATTTTCCTACAAGAAAACATTTAATTTGCACATGATAAAAAATTCTCGAAAAATACTACCGGAAAGTTCTGTCTGTAAAGAGAAATTAGCAACGTTAAAGTGCAGCAAAGAATGCTCTCAAAACGAATCCCAAAGTCATATCAAAACATGCCCTGAAGAAAAACCTTATCAGTGTTCTGAGTGTAACAAAACATTCTCAGCAGAGTGTAGCCTCATTCTTCATGAGAGAACACATCCCAGAGGCCCACAGAAAATGCATGGATGTCCCCTCTGTAGCAAGAGATTCCGTAATGAATACTCTGTTTATGTGCATATGAGAAAACATACAGAGGAGAAAAGATATCAGTGTTCTTACTGTCCTAAAGCATACTCTCAAAAAGGTCAGCTAGCCGACCACATAAGATCGCATACGGGAGAAAGGCCTTTCAAATGTTCTCAGTGTGATATGGCATTCATGAGAAAATGTTATCTTCAGAAACATGTAAAATTACACAGTGGTAAAAAGTCGCAATAAAGTTTTACGAGGTTGTGACAGTAATTGAATTGTCTTTGGCTTTTCTGCAACTTTAGAAAAATAGCAAGTTGAGAAAAATAGAAGATGTTTAAAGGTAATACAAAGTTTTGGTATGGGGTCATGAATTTGGTTCAAATGAACATATTGGAAGCATATGCGATCCTACAATATTCAGTGATCGTTGTCCTGGTTAAAATTGATTCTAAAGTTATGAAATTGTAAATAATAAACTCTTTATGTTGTATAGCTCCCTCTCAAGGTCAATATATTAATTAAACTATAAAACAATGTTTCTTGACTAAAATCGACTGATTGGCTTTTCCCATTTGGAAATTATATATCGCAGCTGCATATTCTGAGATTTTCATGGTCGCAACTACCATAGTACGGCCGTAGGCGCTATTTGAAATTTATCAAAATTTACCGGGAGCACTGGTAAATTTTTATATTCAATTTTTCTCGAAAGCAGAAGTGTTTTTAGGGGCTAAACTTTCTAGTGCTTAAAAAACATCCACAGGGGCTTCCAAATATATCAAAATTTTGAAGAATCACTATCCACCTAATTTTCAAAATTTCCCAAAACATTGTATTACCTTTCTTAAGGGAAAACATGGTGTTAATATTTGATAATGTGTTTGTACAGCAGTATTAATATATGTAAGATCATATCATTATTATAATTAGTAATTTCACAGACAATCCTACCTCTTTAACCACCCTTACAATATTGCTATATTTATAATCATTTATAATTATTTTCAACATATATTTGCAAAGTCAAAATGGACTTTGAACATGTATGTGTATTTTTTCATATTTTTGTAAATTGTTTCAAAATATTCTAAATGAATACCGGTATTTCAAAACCCAATCTGCAAACCCTTTTCTTTCTTTTTTCAATGATTGATATGTTTTTTCATTATATGTTTATGTAAACCTAAAGCAGTAATGCTTTTCTTCAAAGTAGACATGCTTTAAGTCAAAATTGATTTTTAATGACATGACAGATGGATGTTTCTACTATTTTATCCCACCTCTGCCATCACTACTAGACGATAACATTTCTAGTGCAATAGTTGCATTAGGTACTGATCATTTGTCATTGATTTGGCTAAACATGAGCTGCAGTGCCCCAAAAAGGCTAATTCCACATAACAATGCCTCAAGAGGGCAGCATAATCATGATTGAATAAGTGAAAGGCAACCATGTTTTAATAACATTGATTTCACATTGTAATTCATGGTTTTAAATACTTTTTTTGTGATGTAGAATTCAGTCACATTTAAATATGATGACATGAAGGCACTCCATGAATCATTGGACCAGGGAAGGACAAATTTCACTTAGTTTGCTTTCATTACCTGAATCACATGCATGTACACAAAACTGTATGTGGGATTACAGTTTTAAACATTCATGTGGTATGTAAATTTGGTCCAAACTTTCATCTATATCTCATCATTTTTCATATGGGTCATTTGAAGAGCAATCCATTATAATATTCTTCCATTCATTAAGTGATATAACGAGAATGAACAAGAATTTTTTTTCATCTTTTCTCAATCTTTTCTTTGATACATTATCATACTGTAGGTATTAAATATAATCATGTAACATTATGGAACAAGGAAGAGAGTTATGTCAATTATACTTTTTTTTACCAATTGAAAAAGACCTTAATTGAACATATGGAAACAACTCTACTTATTAATTCCCAAATATCAAGTTGATCCGAGAAAGTATTATTTTGTATTTAGAAAATATGTTTTGTAAAGTTGCAAAGAATCAAGTACTTTTGTATCCATTGGCCTCAAGTATACTCTGCTGGAAGCCATATGGGTATTAACTTATTCTCAAACGCGGAGTTAATCCCTCTGAAGTTCAGTAGGAAACGGGTCATATGTCGGTACTCTAAGCATACCAAAGAAAATGTTGTGCACCTTTTGCTTCTTCATCCATTATACTAATTGTACATATCTTGATGTGTTTTTCATATCCTCTTTCAACTTTTTTAAAATTGGTTAAAAAATATGGGTCAATAATATCACAGAAAATGCATAATAGATTCATGAAGAACATATCAGCGTCACGTCCTTGAGCTTCCGTGTTCAAAACACATATGGAATTGATATTTGGATTACACAAAATTGTCGACGTAATATTTGCCATTTGAATGACAATTTTCCACGGACTTTTATTATGTATTGTTTGTTTGTTTGTTAATGTGTACACCTCAGTAAAGACAAGGAAAATAATGTAAATCAATTTGTGTCCTGCTCGTCTTTTACGCCTACCACCTATTATTTTACTTGTATTTAGCTCGATCGGAATACTTCAGTTTGTAATCTGCCAAAGTGGGTAGAGAGAGAGAGAGAGAAAGAGAGAGAGAGAGCGAGAGAGAGAGAGGAGTAAAAGAAAACCACTGAAGATCGAAGGCTCAAAATCAACGGCATCAATACTTCCTGATAAGGCAGAAGCTAGGGCCGGCACTCAATCTACAAGGGGATCCCGGCATTTGAATGCATTGTAGAGAAAATGAATATTTTCAAAAGAGTTTGTGTATGACCTTTGGACACCCAGCTATGTAGAAACAAAAAGTTATGGTACAACATGATAGCCTATAGAAACGCCTAGAGAGGGGCAGAGAGAAAGAGAATATAGACAGGGAGAGAGGGTAAGAAGAGAATGGGGGGGGGGGGGGGAGAGAGAGAATTTTTGTGCGCATTTAGTGGGAGTTCCCATCAATGAATGGACTTGGGATAAACCTTTGGAAGTTAAAAGATATAGGCCTATATGAGAGCATTGCCAGGTCATTTTTGGATGAGGATGAGGGCGTTAACTGGGAAAAATGGCTAGCAGGAAAGAAAACTGCCTTGTTGTTTCTTCCGACTAAGGTGGAATATATACCTAGTTGCAGACAAATTTAATTCATTATACACCGCTCTTTTATCTTCGTGCCCATTCCATTATCCTCCCCCCCCCCCCCCCCCCTGAGAGAGAGAGAGAGAGAGGATGGAGAAAAAAAGAAATGGGTGAATGCATGGGTATAAGAACAAGAAGATGAATTAACAACAGCATCACTAAATTTGGCGAGGAGATGGGAGAAATGATTTGTATTTATCCCCTACTTCGAATTTTGCTTGCTTGCAAGTCAATATATTCAGACCATACACGGCTGGATCATCATGTAAAGGGAGTAAAATAAAACATTGAAATCATCCCTGACAATATCACAATGTAGTGTATATTACCTATGTCTAAAAAGGCATACTTTCACTTTGAGGTTTCTCTTTGAAGATGCCACTTTTTGTTGGTATCCCCCCCCCCCCCCCCCCCCCCCCCACTTTGTAAGACACTCCACCGCCCCTGGATAATGGATAGGATATTAACTTATCATCTCATTGCTCATAGCATAGAGAACAATAATGTAAGCAATCAAGGATGCAAAGTACTCTAGCCTCGCAATCATGATCAAATACTCTCTACCTCTTGCCTAAGTTCCCATACACTCTTTAATTTCTCTCACATATTTTGTATTTTCTTAAATCTCGTATAATTATAGCCCTCCCCCCCCCCCCCTCTCTCTCTCTCTCTCTCTCTCTCTTCTGCACACCCCTTTATAAATGTTCTACATCGACAACAAATTTCTCAGATTGGTTTATCTTCTCTTTAATTTCAAAACACATCATGATTATAGTCATGTGGGTAACTATAATGCAAAAACATCGTCCCAGATTAAACAAAAGGGTTTGTTGTGTCTATTTCTACGATTCTCATATCAGCATAAAATGTCAACATATAAAGACAAAACTGATAGCACCAAGGAAAAATAAGGCAAGATGTACAATATATTTCATTAAAAAAATATAAATTCTACTACTTCATTCATGTAAAAGATGTTCCACTTAGGAAAAGGAATTGTGCCATTTCATGATTTGTTAGTATGAAAATAATTCAAAATCAAATACGAACAAAAATACAGCATACAACAGCACTATTTCATAATTTGCCCAAATATGTTCATAACAGGATTGCAACTACTTTAAATGCCGGCTGTACTTCTGTACCTGTCAATGACAGGTGGCTATCTCATCAACTCAGGCTCTCAATTAACATAAGAAAAAGAGGATCATGGGGAACCAATGGTCACCGATGAGGTATTGTTTTCTATATAGAGGGAGCAAGTAGCTACAAGTAGGACAGTGGGGCTTTAAAAAGATCAACTTAAGGCAATCTAAATAGCCTAGTGAGTTGCCGATTGAAATTTGCAAACATGACAATGATGTAATACATAATCTGAACATGATTTCTATGGGATATAAGAAGGGGTATTGAGTTATTTTTTAAATACAGTCAAACCTGCTTTAGTGACCACCTGTCTACAAAGACCACCTGTCTACAAAGGCCACATTTGTTGTTTCCCTTAAAAATGGTTTCTCATTGAGCATGTACTAAAGGAACCTCTCTACAAAGACCACCTGTCTACAAAAGCCACTTTTTGTGTTTCCTTTGGGTGGTCGCTATAGACAGGTTTGACTGTAGTTGCGATTGTGTTTCATGAATAAAATACATCGAATAGAGCCTTGGGCATCACCAAAGCAATAAAAAAGCTAGGATGGCATAAAAAGGAGGACTACTAACTGGCGGCTGAGAGCAAGAAGGGGGTTAACTCTGCTTTAAAGAATAAGTTAATACCCATGCATATGGCTTCCAGCAGACGATATGTACCTGAAGCCAATGGATACAAAAGTAATGGATTCTTTGCAACTTAATTTACAAAACATATTTTCTAACAACATAATAATACTTTCTCAGATCACAATTTTGGAATTAATTCATTAGAGTTGTTTTCATAAGTTCAGTAAAAAATTAAAAGTCAGAAGTCTATTTCAATTTTTTTTTAAATATAATAAACATTATCTCTGTCTCGTTACACAATGTTGCATGAGAGTATTAAATCTAATACCTACAATTTGTCGTAGACGGAAAATTTCTCTCATTAACATGACAATGCGTCAAAGAAAAATTTGTAAACTTTTTCATTCTTTTTATGTCACTTTGGAATAAATTTTAATGGAAATTTTCCCAGAAAAGGCTTCCTCTTCAAATGCCCCCATATATGAGATATGGAGATATAGATGAAATGTTTGGACCAAATTTTCATACTACAAGGGTGTGTTATCCCTCATACACAGCTTTGTGCTTAAACATGCATGTGATTCAGGTGAGCCTTGCCTGGTCCAATGATTCATGGAGTGCCTTCATGTCATATATATAAATGTGACTGAATTCTACACTACAAAAAAAGTATTTAAAACCATGAATGACGATGAGAAATCAATTTTACTAAAACAAGATTATACCTTTCACTTCTTCAATCATGACACTGTATATAATGCTGACTTCTTAAGGTATTGTTATGTGGAACTATAGTGTTACATAATTTTGCACTTTGAGGGCACTGCAGCTCATGTTTAGCCAAATCAATGACAAATGATCAACAATATTAAATCTGAGATGCACGGCCCTACATGTTATCAGTGTCTGTGATATGGTGTAATATTGAAGCCCTAAAAAATTGTGCTTCAAAATGATCAAGAAGTGCCGCAAAAAAGTAAAAATCTTTGAGTGACCGGTTTTACCATACTCATTTTCCCCAATAGACTGTACTGTTATGAAAAACGTTTGGCAAACGGTTTTTAAAATTTGTAATTCCAATCATAAATATCTTGATAATTAGACAGGCGATCGGCTTGTAAAAGTCATGGGGTTCCTGACTGACAAACAGGTTTTTAATCACCCGGTATGATTGCGGCATGAGCTGAATCCTGCAGGATTTTGTTTCAAAATCTGAGACAAAGTTTAATACCGGATCCCTTTAATGCAACTATTGCACTATAAATGTAATCCCTCTAGTAGCTAGTGATGGCAGAGGTGGGATATAATAGTTGAAACCTTCATCTGTTATGTCATTAAAAATCAATTTTGATCTGAAGCAAGTCTACTTTGAAGAAAAGCATTAACTGCTTTAGGTTTACATAAACATATGATTTTGAATGGCAATTACTTTGATGAAAAAAACATATTAATCATTGAAAAAAGAAAGCAAAGGGTTTGCAGATTGGGTTTTGAAATACCGGTATCCATTTAGAAGATTTTGAAACAATTTACAAAAATATGAAAAATACACAAACATGTTCAAAGTCCATTTTGACTTCGCATATATATACGTTGAAAATAAGTATAAATGATTATATATGAAGCAACATTGTAAGGGTCGTTACAGAGGTAGGATTGTCTGTGAAATTACTAGTTATAATGATGATATGATCTTATAGATATTAATACTGCTGTACAAACAAATTATCAAATATTAACACCATGTCTTCTATTTTTCTCAACTTGTTCACTGAGGTTTCAGGAATGTTTTCATTCCTACTCTTAGAAAAACCAATAGACAAATCAATTACTGTCAAAAACTCGTGAAAATAGAGGAACCTTTATTGCGACTTTTCAGCACTGTGTAACTTTACATGTTTCTCAAGATGAGATTTTCTCATAAACGCCATGTCACACTGAGAACACTCAAAAGGCCTTTCTCCTGTATGCGTTCTTAAGTGGTCAGCTAGATGACCTTTTTTAGTGTACGCTTTAGAACAGTGGGAACACTGATACGGCTTATATCCCGTATGTGACTTCATGTGACTCCTGAGGTTACACTTTGAGGTAAAGAACTTGAAACACTCTGTACATTGAAAAGGTCTTTCCCCTGTGTGGACTCTTATGTGTTCAACCAAGCGCGTCCTGACAGCAAATTTCAAAGGACAATAGGTACATTCATGAGGCTTTTCCCCTGTATGTGTTCTCATATGCCTTCTGAGATGGGACTTTGTCATGAAGGACCAATCACATTCAGAACAAGGAAAAGGTCTCTCACCGGTATGAGATCTTTCATGTTCCGTTAGATGATACTTGTTGGCAAAGGTATTGCCACAGTGGGTGCACTCAAGGCGCTTGCGTACATCATGAGATTTCATGTGCCTTGAGAGATCCGACTCAAATGTGAACATCTCCCCACATTCTGAACACTGAAAATCCTCCCCTGATTTTCCCTCCGTATGGATTAGGACATGCTCATCAAGTTGATTTTGTTCAGAGAATGAACTGTCACAATAGATACATTCAAAAGACCCTTCTCCATCATGACTTCTCATATGTGTCGTGAGATCCGACTGTGTGGTGAACATCTCACTACACTCAGAACACTGGAAACTCTCCTCAACCTCCTCATCAGTATGTATTCTTTCATGCTCTTCTAGAAGACACTTTTCAGAGAATGTACAGCCACAATAAATACATTTATGATGACCTGTCTCAGGATTGTCTGCATTATGTACTTTGGAAATTTTCCTGAGACGAGATTTAGAGACGAATAATGTGTTACAACTCCTAACATGTTCAACAAATTGAATTTTGTCTGAAAAGGATTCAGCACAATGTGAACACTGATAAGCTTTTTCACCATCATTGGTCTGACTTTGTGTGGTATCCACCTCACTACATTCAGAATTATGGACATCTTCTCCATCATGGTCATCTGCATTACCGTTTTTAGACAGTGTACTGCTATTTCCAGTATCAGAGTCATCTTCAGTGTGTATTTTAGAGTGCACAGCTAGACTAGCGTGAGTAGGAAACCATTCGTTACACACTGAACAGCGAGGTGCATTTCTTGTATGCTTCTCAACATGAGCAGTGAGATAGCTCAGCGAAGAGAATGTTCTCGAACAATAGGTACACTTGAGAGGCTTTTCTCGAGCGTGTGTTCTCATATGCCTTGTAAGATGGGACTTTGTCATGAAGGACCAACTGCATTCAGAACAAGGAAAAGGTCTCTCACCGGTATGAGATCGGACATGTTCTGTTAAATGATACTTATTGGCAAATGTATTGCCACAATAGGAACATTCAAGGCGCTTGCGTACATCATGAGTTGCTTTCATGTGTTTTGTGAGATCCGCCTCAAAACTAAACATCTCCCCACATTCTGAACACTGAAAATTCTCCTCTGATTTTACCTCATTATGGATTAAAACGTGTTGTTCTAGTTGACATTTTTCAGGAAATCTAATACCACAAGACTTACTGGTACACTGAAAAGGTCTTTCTGAAGCATGTGTACTCATATGTGTTTTGAGATCTGACTCTGTCACAAATGGCTCATCACATTCTACACAATGGAATAACTCCTCAGAGTCTTCCGTCATATGAGTTCTTATGTGTTCATCTAGTAGACCTTGCTCAGAGAATGCACTACCACAATAGATACATATGAAAGACTCTCCTCCATCATGAGTTCTCATATGTATCATGAGATCCGACTGTGTAGTGAATATCTCACTACACTCAGAACACTGGAAGTTCTCCTCTACTTCTTCAGCAGTGTGAATTCTTATGTGTTCTTCCAAATGACACTTTTCAGAGAATGTACAACCACAATATGAACACATATGACCGCCTGTATCAGCCTTTTCTGCACCAAGTCTTTTGGAATGTTTCCTACGATGATTAGTTGTGAAGGACTTGTTACACATTCGGACATGCTCAACGAATTTACCAATGTCGGATAATGATTTTGTACAATGAGAACACTCATAGATCCTCTGAACACCCTGTGTTCTACTGGGCGCTATGAGATCTGTTTCTGTATTAATACAAATGTCAATGCATCGAGAGCCCTGAGAATCTGCTACACGTTCATCTACACTATCATTTTTATAAGCTGTACTGCTATAAGGAGTAGAATCATGATCCATTGCTTCCACGTTATCCATGTTGTGTACTTTACAATGCGACATAAGATTAGACTCGGTAGTGAACCACGAGTTACAAACAGAACACCGATGAGGTGTTTCTCTATGCTTTTTTAGATGTTCCATTAGACGATTCTTTGAAGTGAAGGTATCCGAACAGTGCGAACACTTGTGACGTTTTCCTCGAGAGTGTGTTCTCAAATGCCTATTGAGGTGAGACTTTGTCATGAACGACCAATCACATTCTGAACAATGGAAGGGTCTTTCCCCTGTATGAATTCGGACATGTTCAATCAGATGATGCTTGGTAGCAAGATTACGGCCGCAGTGAGGACATTCAAGACTCTTCTTGACTTCGGGAGTTTCTATATTTGTTGCAAGATCCAACTCGGGGGTGGACGACTCGGAATGCTCAGAACTCTGGAAATCTGTTCCCATCTGCACATCTTGATTGATATCTTCAGGAAATGTATAACAGTTGGAAGATTCATCATTCTCTGTATCGCAGCTATCTTCCTTGTGTAACCCAGAATGAGTCAGAGGCTCTTCTATCACATGTGATCTTAGATGCTCCGTTAGATGACTCTTCATAGAGAACGAAGTGGAGCAATGAGAACACCTATGAGAGTTTTCTCCAGCATGTGTTCTCATGTGACTTCTTAGACTAGCCGTGGAGTTGAAATATTTCAAACATTCAAAACATTGGAAAGGCCGTTCTCCGGTATGTGTTCGCACATGATCGTTTAAATGCGTTTTATCAAGAAACTTCATAGAAAAATAACCGCATTCATGGCGTTTCTTCCCTGTGTGTGTTCTCAGATGTCTTCTTAGATGCGACTTTGTCATGAATGACCAATCACATTGAGGACAAGAAAAAGGTCTCTCACCGGTATGCGTTCGTATATGTTCAGTCAGGTGATTCTTACCAGCAAACGTTCGGCTACAATACGAGCACTGATGACATATTCCTCCGTTATGAGTTTTCATATGTGCCATGAGGTCTGACTCTAAAGTGAAAACCTCACCACATTCAGAACACTGGAAATTCTCCACTTCATCCCCGGTATGAGTTCTTTTGTGTTCATCGTCGGGTAACTTTTCAGATGAAGAACTGCAGCAAGCATCTTGAAAAACGTGACTTGTCATATGTATTTCGAGATCTGACTGCGTAGTGAATATTTCGTTACACTCCAAGCACGGGAAATTCTCCTCCCTCTCTTCTGAAGTATGAATCTTTATGTGTTCATCTAGAAGAAACTTTTCAGAGAATAAACTGCCACAGTATGAACATTCAAGACTTACATCTACATCATGACTTGTCATATGTGTTATTTCACTACCTGCAGAACACTCAAAATTCTCTTCTGCCTCTTCGCCAATGTGAGTTTTGATGTGCTCCTCTAGATGACACTTTTCAGGGAAAGTAAAGCCACAATAAGAACATTTATGATGATCTTTCTCTGGACTTTCTGCAATGTGTAAGGTATGAATTTTTGTATGTTCATCTCGCAAACTTTCTTCAGAGAATGTTACATAACAATATGTACACCCATATAGCTTTTCAACATGATGTGTTTCCACTGGCTCTGTTTCTTCTTTGGTGTGTATTTTTGAATGTTTTGTGAGATGAGACTGTTTAGTGAAGACCTTATCACACTCGAGACACGGGAAACTTTTCCCACCTTTATGCTTTCTGACATGTTCATCTAGAAGATTCTTTTTAGAAAATATACTACCACAGTGTTTACACACATAAGTTTTGTCTAGATTGTGTGTTCTCAGATGTCTTCTTAGATGCGACTTTGTCATGAAAGACCAATCACATTGAGGACAATGAAAAGGTCTCTCACCGGTATGCGTTCTTACGTGTTCAATTAGATGATTCTTACCAGTAAACGTACGGCCACAATACGAGCACTGAAGACATTTTCCTCCTTTATGAGTTTTCTTATGTGCCATAAGATCTGACTCTAAAGTGAACACATCACCACATTCAGAACACTGAAAATTCTCCACCTCCTCCCTGGTACGAGTCCTTATGTGTTCATCGAGGGGGAAGTTTTCAGATAAAGAAATGCCGCAAGCATCTTGAAAACCGTGACTTGTTTTTGTATGTTCATCTCGAACGCTTTCTTCAACATGGTGTGTTTCTACTGGCTCTGTTTCTTCTCTGGTGTGTATTTTTGTATGATTTGTGAGTTGAGACTGTTTAGTGAAGAACTTATCACACTTTGTACACTGGAACTTTCTCCCTCCTGCATGCTTTCTAACATGTTCAACAAGTTGTTTCTTTTTAGAGAACTTATTACCACAGTGTTTACACACATAAGTTTTGTCTAGTTTGTGTGTTCTTAGATGTCTCCTTAGATGCGACATTGTCATGAATGACCATTTACATTTAGAACATGGAAAAGGCCTCTCCCCAGTATGGGATCTTACATGTTCAACGAGATGAACCCTTCTAGAAAATACAGCACCACAATACGAACATTTATGACGTTTCTTAGACTTTTCTACAGTGTGTACTTTGTAATGCCTCCTTAGGTGAGACTTAGTAATGAATGATTTACTACACTTAGGACATTCGAAGGGTTTCTCCCCAGTGTGTATTCTGTTATGTTCATCTAGATGACCTTTGTTAGCGAATGTTTTACTACACAACCTACACTCAAAAGACCTCTCTCCGGTATGTATTCTTATATGCGCAATAAGACGATTCTCTGAAGGCAATGCCAGATGGCAATACGAACAAGTATACCTGCCAGTATTAGTTTTGTCTAGCCTGTGTAACTTGGTGTGTCTGGTAAGATGAGACTTTGTGATGAAGGACTTCTTACATTCTAAACACTGGAAAGGCTTTTCTCCAGTGTGTATTCGGAGATGTTCAACAAAATGAGTTTTCTTTGAAAATGGTCGAGAACAATATGCACAGTAATAAGGATTTCCGTCAACATTTGAAGACGTGCTTGCAATCGCTGTCCCAGGCTTTCCATCGATGTCATCTGGGTGTTTTCTGTCATCCCCTGCCTCTATTCCAAGGTATGCATCGTCTGCAAGTTGAAAATGATGATCGTCATTGTCCTGAAGAGAATCTGTGAGGAAGAAAGGTGAAATTGATTAATGTTGTTCTTCCATGAATCTTAACAAAAACCAATAATCTCTTATATCGTAATATTTCATCAAAAAAATATCTGTCTACAATCAAACTTTTGGAGAAATTTCATATGAAATATGAAAATTTAAACATATCACACTGTCAAGATCAAGGTTTCTAATAGTCATATAGATATTAAGCCCATGACTACTGAATTCTCATAGGTGATAGGATTAATACAGGAACCACCATTCCACCAGGTTCAAGTAGGAATTGGTTTAACATTGCTATTGACTTAGGTAATACTGTGTTGGCTTTATTGTTGGAGAAAAGGCCAGATTAGCTGTAAAGTGTAGTGGACTCAGACATGATTACCGGTAACCAAAATGAAAGACCTGCAGTACAGTCAGAGTACAGTATGACTACCGGTATTCATATGACTATAAGGAACTGCCATCATTATTCATGGAACTTCTTTGATAATAAATAAAATCATGTGATTCATCTTTTGTAGAAAGCATAGAACTATGCAATGCACAGTATGCTTTATGCATTCTCTAGGTATCATCACAGTGTAAAGCGTGATTTTATGTTTACATGTTTTACTATTCACAAACCTAAAGTTGAATCAGCTATAAATAAAAACCCGACTGTCCAGGGATAAAACCAACATACACTCCAAAGACCTTAAACCAAGGGAAACGATGGGTCTACAGTGTTCAATGCTTACAATCAATCCACAGGACCCCCCCCCCCCCTTCAGGTCAAGGATTAACAAAGACGGTACTGTCAAAAATGCAACTTGCAATGGGTCAAAATATGCAGGGCAGCCCAGAAAAATAAGCATCACTACCCCCCCCCCCCCCATCCCCTCCCCTCATGAGAGAATTCCGCCTCTTGTTTATAACATTCTGTATATGCCACCATAGTTTGTTTTTATTTACCTTCCTCCATAATATCCTCATCTTTGAAAGTGATGTCATCTTGCTCTGCGTCCAACCGTCCATCGCTTTTACCTGTATGAGGGTTGTCATCTCTCATCCAACCATCACCATCATCACCTTCAGAATTCTCATCATAACTGTTCTCAACGGTTCCACTAAGAGAATCATCCGATAGCGATGTTATGGCTGAATTCCGAACTCCAGCATCATCGGAAGAGGGTACTCCTTCTTCTATGTACATATCAACAAAGTCCTCCACCTCATTCCCGCTGATCTGATTTTCTTCTTCCTGTAGACATGTTGTCTCCTCTTCATTGTTCTTCTTGTTTTCATAGTTGCTTTCATCTTGTCCTAGAAATTAAAAAAAAGAAAAGAAGAAAGGTTTGATAGAAAAGGCAAACAAATAATCTTTTACTGTATTCTTCATTTGTATCAGAACCTATGTTGAACACTGGAAATTTAACAGTATTCATAAGTCAAAATCATATAATTTATATAGATATTGTGGTTTAGAGGTTAAAGTAGTGCTGTAGCCGAACCGCCGAACCGAACGGAAGTTCGCCGAACATGGCACTTCCGAACCGAACCGAACCGAACCGAACGCGAAGGCCTGGTTCGGATGTTCGGCAGAAAAATGTTAACATTTTCGAAAGCAACTAAACTTGTCATTTTGTACCTAATTTTCATGTCATGATTGCTTATTTTATATTTACTTTTTTTCCCATTTTCTGCCTTTGTGATTTATGGCTATCAAGTGGTGGGCGCGACTTCACTGGCGCCATTTAAAACCCAAATCCTGACCACGCTACGTCGCGATCGCAAGCTATAAACAAGAATACATGTGCGTGATCAAAACAAGTTCAGCTCAAACCCATTTAACAAAACAAAAAAATTAATTGTAACAATATCGGAGAAATTTTACAATATAAATAATGAAATAAATATATATTATAGTATGGTATTTATTTATTCAGGAAAAATAGGGATTTTATATTTTTCCTATTGAAAATAAAAACTTATAAAAAGCAGTTATTGACGAGCCTGAATTGCTATTCAAGATGGCATCTTTCATGACTCTAACATTAGACAACAACCGTATCAGAAAATCTTGCAAAATTATCATTTATTGACAAATTGAAAACATGATTCTTTTAAAATTGAAAATACAACCCGATTCAAAACGGAAATACGAATGTAAGTAGTACTTCTCTTCACAAATAATTACGTTTAGAGCAGTTTTTTAACGTGAAATTCGTGCTGGTCGGAAGCACTGTTTTTCAGCAGGAGTGGGCAGAAGTCCTTCGTGCTGGTCGGGCCTTGCCGGCCGGCCCGCCCAGTGCCGACCGCCGTGGCTATAACGCTGCTTGCTTTTATATTACCGAACCCCGAACCAAACCAAGTTCGGGTGAAAAATTGCCGAACTCTGCCGAACCGAACCGAACACGAACATAGCGTCTGACTTACAGCACTAGGTTAAAGGGAGTGTAGCTTGGCAAATACTGGTTAACACCATCTACGTCTTCTTTTAGACAACTGCACCTAAACAAATGGACTTGCTTGACTGTAGTCAGCGACTTAAACTCTTCATTGAAAGCATTCGCGAAACAGACCAAGTTCTCCTCACGCTTCTCCACACTCAAGTCACACGTGATTGCTGCAGTAGCGTCATCCATAGTCGTATTATACCGATTGGCCCCTGAGTCAGGCCACGGGAAAGATACGTAGTCTCATCAGTCTACACCCCCTTTAAGTGAGTGCATTATTATGCATCATTTGATCCAGGGATCAAGTCCCTGTAACGGCAAAGTTTTGCGTAGTGAATGTAATTATTATTTTTACCTTTTAATTCTAAATACATGTATGATGGATGTAGCTATATTTTTATCTTGTAAATTGCAAATTGGTGATGTAACCATGACTCAGCTCAGTCTCATCTCAGATCAGAGTCAGAGTGACACAACTATTTCATTCCTATTCTATTTGCTCCAAGTCAAACATACAAAAAAAAAGTAATTTTTTATCAGTTTATACATTCGTTTTCTTTACCAAGACTCCAAGTCAAAATAATTCCAGTTTGAATTATCAAATACATAAATAATAATAATAATGAACATTTGTATAGCGCCTTTTCTACAAGTAGATACAAAGCGCTTAATTAACATATACAATGAACAATTAACAAAATAGAAAGATGCTTAACAACAGACATGTATGTAACAATATAGGAATGAACAAAATAAAGGGTAAGACAGGTAATAGAAGAGCAAGAACAAGTGCTGGTAAGCGGGCATTAGTTAAACAAGTGTGTTTTGAGGTGTTTTTTGAAAGTCATTAGAGAATCAGCAGTTTGTACAAAATTGGGGAGATTGTTCCATGATTTTGGAGCAGTGGCTATGAATGCCCGCTTACCAGCATTGGTTCGACACCTTGGGGTATCTAAAACTGTACGAGTGTTGGATCTTAGGTTGTAACTGGAGTGCCTAACAGTAACATGAACGAGATCAGTAAGATATGAGGGAGAGAGATAGTGTAACGACTTAAAGACAAGGGTGGAGGTCTTGAAGAGCACTCGCTGTTGAATAGGAAGCCAATGCAGAGAGTTCAACAAGGGCGTGGTGTGTGTGCTCTTTGGTTGTTTGAAGATGAGGCGTGCAGACTGGTTCTGGAGAAGCTGAAGACGGTGAATGTTCTTTGCTGTTGTGCCACTCAACAAACTGTTACAGTAATCAAGACGAGATAAAACTAAGGCACGGACTGCAGCATGAGTGGTACTTTCGTCAAGATATTTTCTAATCCTGCATAAGTTCCGGATATGATATTTGACAGTCCTGACTACATCATCATCATCATCATCATCTACTTTCAACTTTTATTTCAACACAAAATTACCTGCTGCAGAGGCTGGACTTCCATCTAGCTCTGGTCTAGTAATGGACGTGTCTGGACAAAGTGACTCGTCCGTTTGTTCCATGTTGACCCGTCTGCCACTGCCAGTTTGTCGGTTTGCCATTCCTCCTTGATTGGATCATGGGGCCAGCGCCGCAACGACGGGCCCAGCCTGGCCTGGCCCTGGGCTTCCGCGTAAGTACGTTGCTTCCGTGTGCTTGAATTAGTATTCCCGCGACGATATGTAGAGCTGTACCTTAAAATGAATCGCCAAATACTCCTTTTTAATCCAGTCCAAACATATCAACAGCTGGAGCCACAAATCTTGACATGATGAAGAGTATATAGGAAACATTAACCACGATAACATAACTTTACTTCATTTGTTTCAATTTTTTCTTCCTGTCTTGTTTTCCTTCAGCCGCGTCCATCCGTCCTTGTGTTATGAAGTGCCACAGTGTACGTGTATGAAGTACCACAAGGTAATTCTTCTTAAAACATATTGAATGAATACAATTAAGTTCAAGTTCAAGTTCAAGTTCATTTTATTCACAACCACACCAAACATGATATAACCTTTTACATACAAAAGAGACTGGTAATAGTACATTAATAAACATTTATATAAACTTGATTACATCATAAAACGAATGGTTTTAGGTTACACACTCTATATCATGTATGACCAGGAATAAATGTCGTTTTCGAGTGGATATGTCACTGCAGTGGCGGATCCAGGGGGGGGGGGGGGTGCAAATTGAATTTTTTTTGAGGATCAAAAAAAAAAAATGTGCTCACAGATTTTGACGATTAAAAAAATATCATTTCTAAACTGTAAACGAAAATCTTTGTTAGTTTTCCTTAAAATTTTCATTAAACTGATTCTTCAGGGTTTTTTTTCCCAAGTCTGATCATCATCCATTAATCTAAGTGGTTTCTGTTGTAAAATTTTATTCAATTCTTTCAATTATTAGATAAAAAACTTATTGATTATATGGAAGCTCTCCCATTTCTAAGATGTCTTCATGCACTCGCTCGATTCAGCCGCATATACCTTAGAAATATACCTTGGAAGTAGGTATTTAAAGTTAAAAACTTATTTGCCTCTCGTTGACATTCAGATGAAGAATCCATATTTTGGCACATGTTTAGTGGCGCTATATTGACGAACATGGACAAGCGAAGGACTCCTCTGGGTCAAATTGTTCTTTTCTTGACGACCAAAACTTCAACAAATTGGATTTAAAGCTGTTTAGTGACTTGCTCTCCACAACTACAGAGGAGAGGTTGTTCCATTCATTGATACTTCTCTGTGAAAATGATCCATGTCTAAGCTTCGAGTAGACTTTCTTCTTAACGATCTTGTATCGATGGCCACGGGTTCTATTATCAGTTGGATGGTCAAAGAAGTGTGCTAGATCCAGTTCATCTAGGCCATGCATTATTTTGTATATCTGTATCATGTCTGCTCCATACACCCCCCCCCCCCCCTCTCTCTCTCTCTCTCTCTCTATCTATCTCTCCTGTCATTTGAGTGATTCTAGGACAATTACCCCCTGGGTAATCACCCCCCCCCCCCCCCCCAGCCAATTACCAGTGGGACAATTATTTTACCCCCGAAGGACAATATCCCCAAGAAAATTACCCCCTATATATAGGACAATCAATTATCTGACATATATAACATCATAAAAAACTGCTCATGAACAAATTCCCTTTTTATTTTACAGTAGCCGGAAAAGTCAAATTGCAGGTTTTTAGATTTGTAAAATAATTCACAAATTAAAACTGCTATTGTAAGCAAATTTCTTGACATAATTAGGCTTTAGTATCATAATTTCATATTTTAGTATCTGTTCGATTTCCCTCGTTAGTTCAAATAAAAAGTGAAAAATATTTCTTTGAGAACAAAATCACTTCCCAAGCTTTCCAATGATATTGGCGGCTTCGAACCTCAGACATAACACCTGCACATAACACCTGCAGATTCTATTGTGCAACTTGAAAAAACGGCAGCTGCTTGGAATAGTATAGGCCCCCTAATTAGTTGTGCAGTTATACCGTTTTTTGTTTTCTTTCTTGGTGGGGTTTATGCCGCGTCGATTCGTGTTTAATCTTTTAAAAGGTTGGTCATTCTTTTTCACGAGGAGGGGGAGGGGGACTCTGCATTTTCTTGTGTTTTGGCCTATATATTCCAGCCATCAACTTAATGAATTTCTGTTTGATAGCCGCTTATTTTGCAGCTGTGCATGGGTCATAAAACTGAAGGCTAATCCTGACCTATAGTGATTGACAGCACTAGCTGTAATTGGGTATACACCTGAATGGTGTGATTGGTATCAAATTTCCCATGGGAGCCCGCTATATGCAAATCAATTTCGAAGCTCTTCTGCTCCGCTCCCCCATATCGCAAAAAAGAGTACAGCGCCCATTATGGTCTGCACTAGGCTATAGGCTCCGGACGCGTTATTTTTTTCTGCGGCACAGATTTGGGCATATGGTGCGTGTTGAGCCTATGGGAAGTACGTTCTTTCCCTTCTGAATAGTGTCTGCACCACACCTCTGCCAATGCAATTATTTAAATGAATTAGTAATAACAAAAGATTGAAAATGATACCAAGAAATGAGAGATGCAATATAATTCCAAATTTGTGTAGATTAGCAGCCTCAAGAAAGACGCCAATGGAATGCCAACTTTGAAAACAGATCAAGGACCAGCGACAGACAGCAAGATGAAGGCAACAGCACTGAACCAGCAGTATCAGTCAGTATTCACAAAGGAAGATAACCACGTCCCAACCAAGCCGAAGGGCACCAGTCAACATCCATCTATGCCATGCATCGATCGAGTTTAATACTGGAATCAAAAAGCTGTTGGAGAACCTAAACCCAGGGAAAGCTCCGGGACCAGACCAGGTACCAATACGCATTCTGAGAGAAGCTGCACAACAGAATAGCTCCCGTTCTTCAGGTCATCTTTACGTATTATGTAACTGGAACCTTGCCTCAAGATTGGCTCACGGCAAACATCGTAGCCATCTACAAAAAGGGTAATAGAAGCCTCCCAGTGAATTACCGCCAGTGTCCTTGACGTGTGTAACAACTAAACTGATGGAACATATATCTTCCACTCAATCATGGATCACCTGGAATTGCACTCTATACTCCAACATTACCAACATGGATTTTGGAAACAACATTCCACCGAGTCGCAGCTTAATTGCTATAACGGTCGAAGAAATAGCGAGGGCTCTGGATCCATCACCACCAGATTGACATATACTCGACTTCTCCAAAGCTTTCGACACGATACCACATCAGCGCTTACTGGGGAAAATAGATCACTACAGCATCCGAGACAACACCAAGAACTGGATAAAGACCTGGCTGACTGCACGGACACGAGTAGTAGTTGTTGATGGAGCACGTACGGCATCGGAAACCATAGATGTTGAATCAGGGGTGCCGCAGGGGACAGTTTTAGGGCCACTGATATTCCTACTTTACATCAATGATATTGGAGAGGACAAAGATGAGGATGCCCAGGATCTACAGAAAGACCTTCAAAAGCTGCACGAATGGACTGAAAAGTGGCAGATGCTATTCAATGCGAAGAAGTGCTACAGCATGAGAATTCATCGCAAGCAGCTACCCATCATCCTTAACTACACCATGGGAGATGAGGTGCTCGCCGCTGTTTCTTGCCAGTCCTATATACTTGGGGATGGAGATCCATGAACAACTTAGCTGGAAACATCACATCAAAGCCAACAGAACTATGGAGATGATTACGCCACTGAAAAAAATAAGTACAAGTTCACCGACATCCCATTGAAATGAAAGTTAATACACACATTTCAATGGGATGTCAGTGAACTTGTACTTCTGACGGTTTCGAGAAACGCTGCCTTGGATTCATGCATTCGAAGAAACCTCAGCCTATGCTCATCTGCCATCAAGAAACAGGCATACACAACACTAGTCAGATCACAACTAGAATATGGGGCAGCTATATGGGATCCATATCGGTGCCCCCCCCCCCCCCCTGGATCCGCCACTGAAAAACGATGTGAATGTGTAGAAAAATCATATTTTATTGTCCTATTTTGCCCGCCATAGTCTACCCAATAAATGACATGTGATGGCGCTGCCCATCGACTAAAAAGTTATGACAGAGATGACGGTGTCAGAGGCGTCATAACTACTTAGGATATGTTGTCGTTGATCGATCTTGGCAAAGAGGGCTTGGTGAAACACGTAGCGGACAAGTTGCTCACTAACGCTGATTTAGTCAAGAAGATAGGGCGCGTTTATCAAGGCTTGCCACTAGATAATTATGTATATCATATACCCCACTATCAAACCCCACTATCCAACCCCACTATACGATCGTGATTTGCGGGATGTCGCGTTTATCGTCCCTTCACGATTCAAAATAAAGGCCTTGTGTCAGCCCAGCTGTTTTGACCCGGGAAGCAGACAGTTTCTCGGGGGTCATCTTCTATGCCCATATCTAAAGACGTTTGAAAAAGGCTTTGCGTTTATCAACTTCTAAATTTGCCTGAAAGACGTTTGAGAAACCTGATTCTAGCCAAAAATTTGCTAGATAAACGCAACCTTAGACTTATGACGGTTTCTAGAAACGGGCCCCTGGGCCTCAGCGTAGTAACTTCTTGATTTTGCACACGAACCGCAGATTCTAATTCCGCAGTGAACATGAGTTATAAATCCATCGCGAACCCAACGAGCAGCTCAGTTCCAATAATCTTCAATCCACCATGGCTGGTACAGTTGGAAAGGTACTATTGTGTTTGTCTTAGTTGAGAAAATTATAAATAGTTTTTAGAATTATAATCATGGCTCTTCTGCTTTATGATTGTTTAGCTCGGTGAATCCGTCGATTAATTTTAAATTCACTCAATCACAACGGCAAAAAAAAATAGGTGGGACAGACAGGGTCGTAACAAAAAGTCGCTTCTGCATGCTGGAGCCGAGGAGGGAGTGCACGGTGGCGGTGGTGAGTGTTGGTCAATGGGCGTGGGTGGCCTGGGGCTCGTTCCTAGAAACCAACGACAAGACAGTCATAACTTTATCCGCCAACTACGGAGATGTCTCTGATCTTCCTAAACCGTTTCACGAAGAGCTTACTAGCTGTTATCTCGTGAGATCGATACTATCGGCAAGAATAGGAGCCGAGACTTAGCCCTAGTCGCAATACCACCGAATTATTACAAAATTAATATTAGACTAGAGTAAAGGAGGGGGTAAACGATCAGCTCCAGTTTTCGGCCATTCCGTTGGATGCATGGTAAAATCCCTTTAGAATACATCGCATAATAGCATATCACATATCCAGAGATGCCAACCGTTACGGTTTCGCCGTGTTTGTTACGGTTTTAATGCTCTTGGCGTTACGGTAAACAATTAAAAGGTTACGGGGAAACGATAAAGAAAAGTACATTACAGCAGATGCCGCTATTTATACATAGCCTCCGTACACAGCTGCATGTCGCACGCATTTACTCATAAGTTCACTGAATTTGACTAGGTCTACACTGGATAAGGCACTTTCGCGCACATGGCCATGGTCCGTTTGTTTATTTCTGAAACAACACGGCCGCTACATTTCTTGATGGATTTCTTTCATATTTTGTATGGAGGTGCGACATGTCTTAAAAAAAAAGTAAAAATCTACACACCTTTAGTGTTTGCTGATGCTGTTCCTAGTCTTGACAATAGTCCGAGCCACTAGTGGTGATCTCTACGTCATCCTTTTGTTTCTGGGAGGGGAGAGGAGATCTTTGTCCCTCTTTCGAACATAAGGATGACATAAAAACTGCTACCAGTGCCGGGGGAATACGTTAGCAGTGTGTGACAATGGCGATTGCAATATTTCTAGTTCATTTTGATGTGACAGCTAAAACAGATACAAAAGCAGTGGGTTCTTAACGTGCAAAGGTAGTGACTCTTCTCTTTGTCAGAGGAAGAAAACAAATCAAATACAGAAGAAAAAGTTTTGAGTTGAATTTGCCTACCACATCCAAAGGACGATCTTTTGTTCCTTTCAGACCATCACATGTCGTGCAGCAGTTGCATGGGAGCCTAATAAGGATCTTAGCATCGAGCAGGTGGAGGTAGCACCTCCTAAGGCCGGTGAAGTTCGCATCAAGGTATGAAATGCAATTTTAACAATTCACTATGTTTTCAATTAGCAAGTCCAGTTTTCCTTTAAAGTAACCCCAAATTGACCAAGAATGCTTCTTGTCCTTCATTTATCAACATATTGTTATTCTTTTAGTTTCATCTAGTAGTGCTTAGTGAGATGCACAGATTTGCGACACAGAATTTTGATATTCTGCATTAAACATTAATTATGATAATTTATGTAAATCTATTCAAAATTTACCAAAATTGTTTCTTCTTCATTCATTTGCCTTGTTACTTGTTACTTGTTACTTGTAGAGATAATCCCGATGGCAGCTATCATACAGCTAAACTGGGATGTCCGTGCAACGTGCTGGCATAGTGACAGTGCACAGTGCCTATTTAGATTGCTCAATGCTTAATTTATTCAGTAAAGCTAAGTTAGATACACCAAACTTCTACACAGAATTTTGAAATTTTACACAGATTTATATTGATAATTCATGACATTTATTCAAATTTACCACTAACCTATTCTATTTGTTGTTATACAGCCAAATCTTAACCCCAAGTGTATAAATCATCAATGCTAAACCATATTTGCTTTAGTCCAGGTTACTGGTTCTGAACAACACGAGATTAACTGGGAAATCATTCAAGCAATTGGCTGGATTTAGGGCAAAATGAATGTTTGGGGCTGGTGTGATTACCACACCATTGTTTAGCACAAAATTATTTGGAACCAGCAACCTGATAACTTTTTTTTTTTAAACACCTCTCCAACCATTGCAGCTCCTAGCTACTGGTGTCTGCCACACAGATGCCTATACTCTGAGTGGAGCAGACTCTGAGGGGAAATTCCCCTGCATCCTGGGTCATGAGGGAGGTGGCACTGTGGAGAGTATTGGGCCAGAGGTCACTTCTCTTAAACCTGGTGACCATGTTGTACCCCTTTACATTCCACAATGCCGTAAGTGCAAGTTCTGCATGAGCAAGAAGACCAACCTATGCAGCGTTGTCAGGTACCGTTGACTCATCGTTTGGTATTTATTTCTTTATAAAGTGAAACCTGTCTATAAAGACCACCCAAGGGAGACAAGAAAAGTGGTCTTTATAGGCAGGTGGTCTTTGAAGACAGGTGTGGGGGGGGGGGGCTGGGTAGTAGTATTTTGGTTTGTAAATTTTCATTTTTCTTTGTATACTTATGTTCTTGTTTTTGTTTTTGATTTTTGATTTTTTAATATTTCATATGTTATGATAATATGTGTTATCTTATAATTGTACATGTAATTTTTATATTGCGCACGGACCAACAGAAGAACAGCCTTTGGCTGAAGTTGGTGCCGTGCAAAAAAATAAATAAATAAACTGAACTGAACTGAACTGAACTGAACTGAACTGAACTGTATTAGTACTTTCAGGTGGCACTGCAAGGTGCAAAGCATCTTTACTTGAGGTCCCTTGCTGGGGTAATGGTATCTTTTACGGATCTTATTTGTATAATGTGAAGCTGTTTACAGTGAATTTTATGTCAGCCATCTACTTCCCCAAGTGTCACTTTGCAGAATATTTAATTCATAAAGTCTGCACTTCTGACCAATTCTGCATTATGTGTGTTTTATTTTGGATTGTTTTTTGTTTTTGTTTTATGTTAAAACAAAACAATTCTTGTAGGTTACATCAGGTTATACATATGTGGTTGCACTATTGTTTTTTTATTTAATTGATCTTTGTTTCTGTGTGAGAGTTTTTTTTTTCTATATTTTTGGTTCTGGGTTTTGTTTGAAAAGAGTTCAGCTATTCATGGAAGATATTTTGACGCAAGGCAGTTTTCTAACAATTTAAATGAAGCCTTTGATAATAATAAATCATTCTTATATAGCGCATATCACAAAAATAAATTTAAGTCCCTATGCCCTGTGTTAGTGTCTGCAGCCCTTACTCTAATGTCTTCCGTTTTCATTCATTCCTACTCAGGTCCACTCAGGGCGCTGGAGTTATGCCTGATGGAACATCTCGCTTCACCTGTAAGGGAAAGACTCTCTACCACTTCATGGGAACATCCACCTTCAGTGAATACACTGTCGTTGCTGAGATATCAGTTGCCAAGGTAACCATAGGCACGATGCTTTTCTGATTATCCTTACTTTTTTTCTTCCCTAACCGTTGACCTTGTATACAGTAAAAGCAATTGGAATTTAAATATTCTCTTTCAAAAAACGAAATAAATATGATTCCTGTAATGAAGGGCGATAGATAAATAATCATCAAATTGTAACATTGTTATCTCAATCGTAAGTCACCTCGATAAATGCGACATATATGTATTCATAATTTGACAGGAAACCTTGTGTTATATCATCATTTATAAAATGAAATTCCAGTTGTTAATTCTGGTGTTTGGTCATTAGAATATAAACTGCCCATGAAAGAGAATTTTCCATCAAAACGAGTTTTGTCATTACCTGTATTCAAATCAACAGTGCCTGATACTTGTTGGATTACACTCCACAGAGGCCCCAAAACTTTACTCTAATGCATCCCCCCCCCCCCCCCTATTTCAAAACAAGGATCTGGTCCACATGTATGCATCCCCAACATTTTGCCCCATACTACGGAACAGAAAACTGAAGCCCTGATTTAATTGAATGAACATTGTGTGCCAATCGGCACATTTAGCTTATTCAGCATAATGTAAGAAAATGTAAAATCAGTTTGCACTTTGACCCCCACCAGCTGTTTGCTGTGCAGCGATAACGATAAACCCACTGCTGTCTGAATACACAGTGGGTCTGAACAAATACACTATGACAATGATTGTGCAATATTCAATGCTGGCTAACCCTATCTTCTATGACTGAATAGACAGCTAGAAAAGGGGCATTGTTAAAGGGAAGAAGATGGAAGAAGGGATCTCGTGATATTTCTTTTAATGAAGAATAAAGAAAGTCATGAATTCTTCATATCCCAAGTATACTGTAATTAACGTTGTATAAACCGCCCTCATGTATTAACCGCACCCCTCTTTTTGCCGAATCTGTCGGCCTCAAGCCAGGTCCGTGTTAAAAAACGTATGCGGGAAGGCCTTTCATTTAACTGCGAGGTGCAGTTGAATGTGTAAGATCATTAGTGTAGATTAAATAAACATTAAGAGGACCTAGGATAGAACCTTGTGGTACGCCGTGTGTAATAGAAGAAACATTGGAGGAATTATTATTATAAACTACATATTGAGATTTATCAGAAAGGTATTTTTGAGTGTTGTTCTAGTTTCCGAGTGGTGAGTCAACACACCGATTACTGAGCTGGGGGACATTGCCAGGCATAGCGCCAGGTGGAGGGGCATAAATTGAAACTTTAAAAAAAAAAAAAAAATTGTTTGTTTGTACCTGTGTATAAGACGCACCCCGACTTTGAATTTTGGGGCGGCAAAAAAGTGTGGTTAATACAACGTTAATTACGGTAGTAAACTTCTATTATGTATCCCTAAATTTTGATCAAAAGAGCTTGCATGAGACATGTATGAAATAACCACACAAAAAGGATAGTAATAGAATAGATATTTCATGAAACTTATGAGTGGTATGACTAAAACAGTCAATTTTCTTTTGTGCTTATTGAACCAATAAACCTTTTCAATCTACTGTATTTGCCGGCGATAAGGCCGCACCACCGCATAGGCCGCACCCCAACTTTGACATTTCAAAGAGGGTGGGAAAAAAAAAGGAAAAAAAGGATCTATCGGCAAATGTTGGTTTAGCAATTTATTTTCGTATTCATGTCAACAATGCAAGATAAAATTGTCGGTAAGATGTGTTGAAATGTCCTGTACCATAGTGGTATAGTTATTGTACCGTTAGTAGTCCCATACGTGCAAATTCGTGCTGGTTTTGACTTGATTTTTTTTTTTTTTTTACTCTTTCGCCGTAAAGGCCGCACCCCGACTTTTTGATATTTTCTCTTCCAAAAATACTGCAGCTTTTACGCCGGCAAATACGGTAGTCTGAAATCAATCGCTCTCCAGAGAAGGTGTAGAAAACTATTTTATTACATTTTGAGAGAGAGTATAGCTTCAGAAAAAATACATTCCTTGTGGCATTTAACAACACGTCATCAATGAAATAGTCATAACTGTTGTTATCCAAGTATAGTATACTTCTACTCTGTATCACTAGATCTTGATAAGCAGATCTTGCATAAAACTTGTCTATAATGACAACAAAACTGGAAGCAGAATAGATAATTCTACTAAAATGCCAAGAAACCTGAATCATAATAAAACAAAAAATTTAGAAATTATCAACCAATGAACATTTTTAGTAGCTGTTGTAATAGATATGTAAGCAATCATTGTACAAGATACATAGGAATTGAAAATTATTTCATGCATGATATTGCACAATCTTTTCTTTGAAAATATTATTGATTTTTTATTAATGAATTGATTTGATTTGATTTGATTTGATTTGATTTGATTTGATTTGATTACATTAGATTTGATTTGATTAGATATGATTTGATATGATTTGATTAGATCTGATCTGATTTGATCTGATTTGATCTGATTTGATCTGGTTTGATTTCATTTGATTTGATTTGATTATTTGTCATTGGTTTTTATTCAGGTGAATGAGAAGGCCCCATTGGAAAAGGTGTGTCTGTTAGGGTGTGGTATCACCACCGGTTACGGAGCTGCCATCAACACTGCACAGGTAAGATGGTATAATCAGGGTATGTGAGTTTAAATGGATTCCCCATCTAAGAGGGCCCTTTGAAGCACTCCGCTGCACTGACGGTCTTTTTTCCCCCTATCATAATCCCCTTAATCCCCCACCCGGAAGGCACAGCTCGTAAATCTCACTCCCGAAACTGAGTGACATAGGGCTCGCGAAATGCATTGTTGGAAATACACATCGGCTGCTATCAACAAAAATAGCATCAACATCGGAAAGTTGAACAAATTGTATTTTAATACTCATTAGGTGTCATCAATCGTCACTAAAGTACTGCCTTTGAATGAAATCAGTTGAGTTTTGTACAGTGGTGTTTGAAATGTTGAGCATCAATAGCACAACTTTTAAAACACGGCCAGGGTAGTAATGCAGCTGCAGCTATGCCTATGTGTGTTTCCACCAACAACATCCAGCATGTACAGCCCAGCGAGCACGGCGGCTTTCGCGTCGCCGGCCCGTACTCGGGGTGAAAAGTGGTGATGAATTGACAACTTCTAACCCTCATTAAACCAAATGCGCAAATATATAACACAATTTCATTTAGTTATTTTAAGAGATAAACTTATGGACTACCTTCCTAGCTATGTAAAAATTTCGGAAAATTTCGGAAAATGTCAATAATTGATGAGAACGTGATGATGATGAGAAACTTGCATTCACTCTAACTCACAATTTCCTTGGTCGATTTCGCTGGTTCAGATGGCTACGTCTTCAGTAGAGTTATCCGAGCACAGCGAAAGCATTTGATAACCAATAGAAGGTTGCATTGTGCCATACGTTGTTGATTCTGTATTTTATATCTTATAGCTATATACATCTTCAATGAATATGACGTCATTTTCTCAGTGACTCGCATGGCTTCAAAGCCTTTTTTTTACGACCAAGTGTTTGGAGAGCTTAGGGAAGCAGACGGCGTTGCGTAACACTTCGTAACATTTGGATCGCCAGAGGGCATCTGTGGTCTGATAAGGGCGGCTGTTGATGGATTTGATGGCTGAAGAGGGTTACATTACTTGTTGTTAAGCCAAGTTAATCTTGAATATCTTTCCCTCGGGAAATTCTTTCGAGACGGGATCTCCATTTAAAATCTCACCTCCCTGGTACAATCAAACCTGTAAAGACCTAAAGGGCGGTGAAATGAAGTGGTCTTTGTAGTAGTAATGGTTTATTGAAAAATTCATTTGCAGCCAATTGGCTGGATTGCAGAATTGTGTACATGGTAAAAATAACATAGTAAATTATAATGTTTACATAATATACAAACTGAACAGGAATAAAACATCAAGTCAGAGGCATAATGATAATATTGAATAAATTGATAAACAAAATTTGATGGGCATGGATTGGAAATGATTACTAGTCGTTATATAATTTTATTGCTCTGTTCAAGGTCACAAAACGATCACCCTGTGCCGTGTGGGGGGTTGGATGTGTTGGTCTAGGATCTATTGTGTACGTCTAAGACCTATTATACTAATATCACGACATTGTTCATTCCTAGGTGGAGGAAGGATCAACCTGTGCCGTGTGGGGGGTTGGATGAGTAGGTCTAGGATCTATTGTGTAGGTCTAAGACCTATTATACTAATATCACGACATTGTTCATTCCTAGGTGGAGGAAGGATCGACCTGTGCCGTGTGCGGGGTGGGATGCGTAGGTCTAGGATCTATTGTGTAGGTCTAAGACCTATTATACTAATATCACGACATTGTTCATTCCTAGGTGGAGGAAGGATCGACCTGTGCCGTGTGGGGGGTTGGATGTGTTGGTCTAGGATCTATTGTGTAGGTCTAAGACCTATTATACTAATATCACAACATTGTTCATTCCTAGGTGGAGGAAGGATCGACCTGTGCCGTGTGGGGGGTTGGATGCGTAGGTCTAGGATCTATTGTGTAGGTCTAAGACCTATTATACTAATATCACGACATTGTTCATTCCTAGGTGGAGGAAGGATCAACCTGTGCTATGTGGGGGGTTGGATGAGTAGGTCTAGGATCTATTGTGTAGGTCTGAGACCTATCATACTAATATCACGACATTGTTCATTCCTAGGTGGAGGAAGGATCAACCTGTGCCGTGTGGGGGGTTGGATGCGTAGGTCTAGGATCTATTGTGTAGGTCTAAGACCTATTATACTAATATCACGACATTGTTCATTCCTAGGTGGAGGAAGGATCAACCTGTGCCGTGTGGGGGGTTGGATGTGTGGGTCTAGGATCTATTGTGTAGGTCTAAGACCTATCATACTAATATCACGACATTGTTCATTCCTAGGTGGAGGAAGGATCAA